CACGCTGCCCTCTTAAGCAAACTTCCATCCTATGGCCTCCCAGAAAAGCTTTGCAGATGGGTGGCTGAGTTTATCTCTGGTCGCAAGATATCCGTTGTAATTGACGGTTTCTCCTCTTCATCCCACATCAACGCGGGTGTTCCCCAGTGATCGGTCTTGGCTCCAACACTGTCTCTCTTACATATCAACGACCTCCTTTCGTGCACGATCAACCCCATCCACAGCTTCGCTGATGACAGCACTCTACAGGAATTCAGAGTGACAAGCCGATCTCTGCCGCTGAGCTGGAAAAAGTAGACTAGCGACGACTTCCTCTCTGACAAGAGACCTGGAGGCTAGCCCTGCTTGGGGATGCAATAATCTTGTACAGTTCAATGCTTCCAAAACACAGTACTGTACTTTGACGAACAAAAAGCGTCCTAGCGCCCATCCAGTTTCGATGGACGGCCGAGTTCTGCCAAAGAAGCCATTCATTTCGGCTGGTCGGAGTCCAGATCACCGAGGATCTCATCTGGCACGAACACATCTCGTCAATAGCTGCAGCTGCTGGGAAAAAGCTAGGATATTTGTTTAGGGCTAAGCAGTATCTTTCTCCGCATGACCATCTCACGCTATACAAGGCCCAGGTAAGGCCTAGCCTCGAGTATGGCTCACACGTTTGAGGTGCTGCCACCCCGACTACATTATCCATGCTCGATGCTGTCCAGAGGAGGGCGGTCCGACCGATCGATGACTCTTCTCTAACAGACAGTCTCGGGACCCTTTCGCACCGGCGGGCCGTCGGCGACCTAGCTCTTTTCTACCGCTACACCAACAGGCTTTGCCCCTCAGAGCTCTCTTTCATGATGCCGCCGCGAGATGTGCCTGCCAGACAGACCCGCATGACTTTGGCACCCCATCCTAGCTGTGTCGAACTTCGTACATCCAGAACTGGCCGATACGACCGCTCCTTTGTCCCGAGGGTGTCGAGATTGTAGAACAATCTACAAGAGAAAGCTTTTGCCAGTTCTACTAAACTTAGGCAGTTCAAAAATCGTATTAACAAAATTTCTTTGGGATCATCATAGCAGCCGCGGTATTTAGGCTTCTGCCTGCGCGGCTGCTTCGATGTAAAAAAAAAACGGTGACGAAGAACGTCGTACAATCTTCCGCGTTGCCAATATCTTACAATTAAGGTGGATATTAAAAATATGCGTTAGTTAGTCCGGTAGAAATACCGAAAAATCGGTAGGTTCCGCAACATGGCTAAAATCGCTCATTTATAATCTATAGAGGTGAAAACCTTGCCCTTGGGATGTACAAAATGTGTCAAACGAACCAATGATGCAATGTTGCCAAATTTGTGACGACCTTTACCTTTCAATTCGACCTAAAATGGAACGCCGTTAGGACCGATTGGGAATCAATCCAATCCAACAAGAGATAACTTTTAACCTGGCCCATACATAGGGTATTTGTCTGATATGACTAGACGAAAAAAGAAGAATGAAGAAGAGCAACAAGAAGAATAATGAAAATATTACGATAGAGCAAGAAGTACAGTACCTTAAGAAGCTATTAGAAACAAAGAATGAAATAATTTTGGATAAAGAGAGGTCTATCCATCAATTAGTTAATAAGAACAGACGTTTACACGAATATTATGAGTTGCTCATTAGTAGTATAGTGGATAAAGAGTAATCACTTCCCTGGGGAAAATAAAGAAAGGGTTGAAAAAATCGAAACTGCTCCGTCATACGCCCATGCAATCAAAACATATAGTGAGGCTGTAAAATAGTCAAAAAATAGCAGAGCTGAGAAGACTGTAGAGAAAATTATTAATACCCAAAAGTTTAAAAGGTAATAAATGCATGATAAACGGTCCTGATCAGCTGTTACGAACTACGTCGCGCCACGCCGTCGTTAGGCTGTGCCGGTGAATCCCCGAAATAACAAAAACCAATTGCAATTAGGAACTATTGACCTGGGGAAACCACAAACTACTATTTATAAATTCGCCTTGCAAGTTGGCTATTGCAATAACGTCTACTGTAAGTTATTTTGTGTTGTTCTTTTTTTCAAAATGTCGTCTACAGGAAGGAAGAAAGATGTCATTTGGTCCTATTTTGCTATTGTAAAATATAATAACATAACACAGTGACTGCTAAATGTAAAAAATGTAAAGTAATTATGGCAGGACTAGTGCTGCGTATGAAGAAACATATTGAAAAATGTGTTCCATCTGAAAATTCTCAGCTACCAATGTCAATTATCTATGATTCCGAGTCAGAGGAGGATTGAACGCTAGATGAGATATTCAAAACTCAAAAATATTCAAAGAATGTTTACCCAGATAATAATACAGGTAACTTTGAATTTTAAATTTTTACCAATTTAAAGGCAAATGCCCAAGACTATTTAAAACAATTAAAGTATGTCGCATTTACTTTGGACAACAAAGTCCAAAGAAACACTTGTACTATAGGAGAGGCTACAGAGATATGGCTAGAATTTTTGGAAGCATTCGAGACTGAACAAGCAATTTTCGGTTAGTGATACGAATAAAGTCGATGAGCGTATGAAAATGGCTTTGACCCCAGCTCATTTTTTGGCAAATTTGCTTGATCATCGCTTTAGAGGCAATAAACTTAGTCAAGGGCAAATAAAAGCTGGCATGGAATATGTAGAAACCTATCATCCAGAAGCGTTGCCAATTATTATTAGTTACCTGGCAAAGTGTGTACCCTTTAAACCATATATGTTTTCTAAACATCTAATTGAGAATGTAAAACCATTCGCATGGTGGCGTTCTATGAAAAATATAAATACCACAGCCTTGGAACTTGCTCAACAGCTTTATACAGCTATTGCATCGTCAACCAACATAGAAAGACTTTTCTCATCATACGGTTTAGTTCATTCAAAACTACGTAATCGGCTAAGCAATGTCAAAGCTGCTAAGTTGGTATCAAATTTTAAAGACCTTAATTCCATCAGTGATGACGTGACTGATCAGATATCAGATTGATGACTTAGATGACTAAGAGACTGAAAGAGTGTGGGGAATTTGTAACACTAGTATGCAAAATGTTTAAGTTTTCCAATGTTTGTGGTGTTCCTATTATCAATAAATAAATAATATTTATGTTAAAAAGTTTGTATAATGTATTTGAGAACATTTTCTATGTTTATTTATTATATTAATAAAGAAAATGAAGAAAAAAGCGCTTGTTTGATTTAAGTGTTTTAAACATGTTTTAAACTGTTTTAAACCTAAGCGAATGTTTAAAACATCTTTAAAACAATTGATGAAAACAAAATGTTTAAAACGAAACAACCCTGACGTAAACTCTCTAAGTTCTCAGTGTTAGGCTATTCCCAGAGTTTTATTTGCAAATAAGGCTATATTACATAAATCTGCGAGAAAGAAATCCTGTGAATATTTCTTGTTTTCAAAAATATCGTATTGCTTAGTGGTTTACTATCCCTATTTAGATATTATAACAAGAAATCGTATTCAAAGTATTATGTTACAGACTTGTAAATGATCTCAGAAAATATGATTATTTATCGAAGGCCATTAGTGACCTCAAATGGATGAACATTAATTAAATGTATAAATACCAGCACCTAAGTTTGACTCATTTATAGGGTTCCTTATTCAAAAACACCGTCACGAAATTCATATATAGCGGGAATATGTATGGCATTGATATTAGATATAGAGAGACTTTTTCAATTCCACGCCACAGCACATCTCTATTTCAGAATACAGATATTTACAATGCGATCAAATTATACAATTATTTAGACCGTAGTTTAAAATAAACCAATTCATTATCCAAATTCAAGAAAAAAGTGAAAGAAATTCTACTTGATTAGCAGCGAAATCTCTTGTAACCCATAAGTATTAACTGACCTCATGTTTTCTTTATGACATTACATTGATTATACTTTATTTTGTCGTTATTGCATATTAATTTTCCACAAAAGTTTTTATACATCTCGTGTTGTTCAAAGGGTTAGGTGGTAGAATAGATGTATCTAAATCTCGCCTTCGGTAATACTACTACAACTTAAAAAGACGTTAATTATTATTATTATTTAAGCGTAACGAATTAATTAACGCATATTTTCAATATTCGCCTTAATTCAAGGAATTGGTATAAGATATTGTCAGCGCTGCAGGTAGCACGTCCTTCTTCGTCACCGTTGCTAGGCAACCTGGCGATGACCTTCGTTATCTAGCCGGCTTCTATCTCTTTCTAACATATGTGCTTTACACACTTCTCCCGTACACCTTGAACTGGCGCCCATCATCAAAATTTGGTCCTCACCGTATGAGGTATACAGTGTGTTTTAGAACTAAGGGATCAAACTTCTAGGGGTTATTCAGTGTAACAGTAGAAAACATTTGAGTATAGGGACCCTTATCCGGAAAACTCTCACTACCGCACTACGGCCCTAAGACGCGTTAAAATTTAGAAATACGATGAATTGCCTAAATAGGATTTAATGCATTTAATTTTTGCCTTTTGTACATGATATCATCTAAACAATTGTTCAAAATGTCTTCCTCCAGCTTCAATACACCGATTTCAACGTCGCACATGATTTCGGCGGACTTGACTAAAAATTTGATATTTGTTTTGAATGATTTCAAATGCTGCTGTAATTCGTCCAATTAAGTCTTGCTCTGTTTCTAGTGAAGTTTCGTAAACCAAAGACTTTACATGTCCCCACAGGAATGGTGTATTTAGGTTGGAGGAAGACATTAAATCCTATTTAGGCAATTCATCGTCTTTCTACATTTTAATGCGTCTTAGGGCCATAGTGACACTTTTCCGGATATGGTTCCCTATACTCAAATGTTTTCTACTGTTACACTGAATAACCCCTAAAAGTTTAATCCCATAGTTCTGAAACACCCTGTACATCAGATGAGGTTAATAATCACTATTACATTTGCGGTATTTGTGATTGCCAAAACTAAAATATTTTCAATTTTTTATTTGCACTAGGTGTTCCTGTGACAAAATAGTGAAGTGTATGCTGTGTCCAAGGTCATATCATTCATCGAACCTGTGTATACCAGCAGGTACCAAGATACTCAGTACATCTCAGATTATATGCCCCAGTCACAGGAAGAGGGCTAACAGCTTGTGTATCAATACTACTTGGTGTTTCTTGTGTTCAGAAGGTAATACGAAAATCAAAATAATGATTTTATAGTATTGGAATTAAAATGATGAAATACCCTGGTTTGGCATATGTGTGAGAAAGTGAAAACCTGACGTAGTTTCTGTGGATAGATATACCCATCTATGCGAGAACCGAATATGCAATATTATTCATAAACAAATATATTTTGGAAAAAACTATTTATGGAATAGTATACATGATATTAGGAGATACATTGCTAAAATATCACAATTATACAGGATGTCCCAATTTTGACCCAAATATCAAAGTTATTATTTTATAAATGGAATACCTTAAATTTTATTAAATATTTAGATAAGCTAATTCAAAATCACATATAACATACTACGGGGTTTTGGTTATAAGGTGTTTTGTCGAGAAACATTTCAGCAACCCGCCAATCCAGCACTTTGAAAGATTTGATGCTGTTTTTCTTACTAAAAGAACTTACATCAGCTTTAACCTTATTCAGTTATTTATCGAATTCTCATTTTTTATATTTATTACAGGGTTGTCAAAATTCAAAATGTACCTACTTTTCTCAAAAATTTTCAAACGGAACAACACATATTTTTGCATTTTTAGATTTACCTTTTTATAAGCGTTTTCTTGGTGCAAGAGTCGATCAGGATTTAATCATTTGTTATTTGGTTAATAAGCCGGGACCTCGGTTGGCCGCGTGGGTCAGCGTGTCGTGCTACTGATCAGCCGGCCGGCCGGGCCGCGAGTTCGAATCTCGCCTTCGCTATGGATGTTGTGTGTTTGTTTTAGGCAGCAGCGGTGGCCGCAGTAGTAGACTCTTCGGTCTCCTGATCAGCCGCCGTGCGCTGTGCGGGTTCGAGTCCCGTCCCAGGAGAAATGTTTCTCTTGGCCATGGATGTTGTGATTGTCCGTAGGTGGTAGATGGTCTCTGACTATCGAACGCGGAGGTACCACCCGGCGGTTCTCGTAGGCGGAGCCAGAATGTGTGCATGTTGCATGCACACGTGTTCCCTCGCCAGAGTCCGTGTGGCGTCCCCCCTTTCCCATGTATCCCCCATAGCCCCACGGTACCCAATGGGTGCTTAGGCCTTAGGCCTTCGTGGTAGTTGGAGTATAAAAAAAAAAAAAAAAAAAAAAAGCTTTTAATAAAGCAGATCACAATTAAACAAAAATTATTATCCATGGAGACAAAGGCAGGCAGTAGTCTAATTTCATATTGCTGTTAAGGTTATACATTGCAATCAGAACAGTATACATTAATTAAACAGTATTTATGATTACCATTTGAGATTATACTCGTCTTAGAAACCTAAAACGGAACAAAGGACAACAACGGTAGCACTAACAACATAAATATTATTACTCAAACCCTAGACTATAGAAACGTCTCGAAAATATCCTCCCTTCTTGGATCCACAGTCGAAGTCTTTGGATGAATGACTGATGCCATTGATTAATGTATTATTGTACCTTAAAATAGCCAACCTAAAGCTATATTCCTCCGTCCAAAATATATATATTGATACTTCTTAAGGACAGAAAAAATAAAAACGAATCGAAAATTTTTACTAGTTTCTCTTCGGCATCATGTAAATCCGCCCTAAAGAACTCAGCTTTTTCCTAATTTAACCTAAGCTGTATCTCCTACAGATATTGAGATCCGCATGAATAGGATCCTTACCTTAGATACCCTGTAAAGCAGGGCCACAAATATTGCCAATTTAGATGATCCATTAGAAAAATTCATTTTTAACCATATTTTTAGACAAATATTGAGTTACAATTTTTTAACAGATTGTAACCAACAATTCTATTTCCATGAATGATGAAATATTTTAGTGTATTTCATTGTTTGATAAAAAACTGTATTATCAACTTATGTTCCTTATATCAATAAATGCTTTTAAAAAATAGAATCTGAAAATACAAAAATATACGGGGTGTTGCATTAAATGTTTATGGAAAAAGAATGTTTTGCGTTTATAATTGTGAATATTTTAGAAATGTGCCCCCATATATAATAAGTGATTTTCTTCAGAAAGCTTTTGCCCAAAAACAATCCTCCGTCTTCGCATGGATGAGCCACCCTGGATATTATAGATATTTTTCCTTATATGAACAGCTTGATTTTTATCTAAAAAGCTAAGTTAGAACTGAAATATCACTGCACGCATGTTCAGAGTAAACACACTGTTGAACTCGCTCATAAAATGGTTTCGTTACGAAAATATATACAGGGTGTTCATTTGAAAACTTCCCACCACGGATTTATCGAAAACTACTAATTGGAAGAAAAAACGCCGCGACACCATACGAGTTGTCAAAGAGGGCAACTTTTTAACCAAAAACTACTTCACTACATATCGAATGATTTTCCATAACCGCGCCCGTATCAGTCTTACTCGGGCTTACTCATAGTCATTCTTATAGCAACGTAGTCGTTGGTTGTCAAATGGCTGGGAACTGGCGACTAATTTGTATAGGCCTATTTGAATGACCTGATCTTACTTATGCCGACCATATTTTACGAACTTTACTGATTGTACCGTTGCGTGCGAAGCGCATACTTGACGCCATTTTTTTTGTTTAATCAAAGCACTATGGCATTGAGAATCTTTTCCATGTGCATACAGATTCAGTAAATGTTTTTACAGGTGGTAATCTTATATGCTGTGAAACCTGTCCAACGAGTGTTCATCCAGAATGTCTGCCAGTCAATCTAACTGATGATGGCAAATTTATATGTGAAGATTGTGAATCAGGCCGTTTACCCTTATATGATGAGATTGTATGGGTTAAGTTAGGCCATTTTAGGTGAGAATATTATAACTGTTTTTTTGATAAAAAAAACACATGCCATAATGGAAAGATACGAAATTTTTGTTTTTATTTTTATACAGTTGTGATGACGTTGCTCTTGTTATCTGCAATAACTGACATCGACCAAAAATTATAGGCCACCATTACACATTTATAGTCCCAATCATCCATAATAAAATGCGATATTCTTGTTGGAATGTTGTTAGAAATGATAATATCGGTATAATCTGGTTCAGAAAGCTATGGAAGAAAAATAATTGAATAATGGAATACGATCCCTTTAAATGCCACTTGTGCTCAATATAGACTATCAAAGAACGAATCACTCAGAGCGATCGGTTGATCGCGTTTAATAGTTGATCATACCACAACCTCAAATACCTTAGCTCGAGGAGCGGCAACACTGATGCTGATTCATTAATTCGTACGTAGTTTTAAGTAGCATCATATAACACGTATACAGGGTGTTTGGTACATGAACCAACGCTTTTTGATGGAAACCGCAATGCTCTAAGGGCTACGGTTACCGAGGTATGTTTTTCGTTTTTTGCTGAATTATCTACCTACAATTGCGCATAAATATCGTTATAACTTTTTTGTTTCTAGAGATAATGACACAAAGTGAACGTGAGTATGTTCTGTAATGTATACTCAATCAGATCAGATTTCGTGCAAATCTTCTCAAACAAATGACTTATGACCTTCCAAAGTCGTACAATCACGTGGAGTGTATAATTCGATTATAAAAAAACTATACCTTTTCTGAAGCCTAGTTTTACTTACAAAACTTCTGTGATTTATTGCCTTTCCAACGATATGTAGTAGTAGTAGTAGTAGTAGTAGTAGTAGTAGTAGTAGAAAGATTTATTTAGCACATTTGGCTACATAAACAGAACAATTATAAACAACTTAGAACTAGTAAATTCAAGCCATATGGTGTATGATGTAAATGCTGGGCAACCTATAATTGTAGATTTAACAAGTGATTTCTCAATTTTACTTTAAATTTTGTCAAAGTTTTCTGGTCTTTTATCTCCGAGTATAATTTATTATATACAATCAACCCTTGATGGAATACAGATTTGTAGCATATGTTATATTTTTTGGTCATTAAATGGAAGTCATCTTTATTTCTGGTATTATGTAAATGATGGTCTACATTTGATGATGTTAAATTAGTTAGACTTGATGGAAATATATTATTTTTACTTTATAAATGAATATCATTACAAGATATTTGATAAAAAATTTTACATTGAGCCATTTTAATTTGCTAAGCATTTGCCTAATTGGAGTATATTTATCTTTATTTAGTATTAATCTCATGCACTTATTTTGTAAAATTTGCAGTCTTTCAAAAATGGAATTATTTGCTAAATATAGAATAGTCGAACAGTACAAGAAATTTGGAAGAATGATGTATTATAGATAATTTTTCTGCTATATGAACTCAGACATCCAGAAACTCTCGATAAATATCCCACTTTACTACTAATCTTATTTATAACTTTTTCATAATGAATATCAAAAATTAATCGAGAGTCAACAAAAACCCCCAGGTATTTAAAATTTTCTACGAATTCAATATCTTCACCATCAATATTCAGTTGAACATTTGTACTTTGTTTTTTTCCAAGGCTTTCGTTTTACTTGCATTTAATTTTAGTCTGTTAGATGCTAACCATTTTGAGACAAGCTTCAAGTCTTCATTTATAGAAATAATATTGTTGTGCGATCAGAAGAAGAGAACAGTTGATTAGGTTCAGGAACAACGAATTTCTTGTTTCGGTTTTTCATATTTTTATTTCATGAGAGCAAGATCCAGCGTGTTTTCGAAATGACAGCCTCCATTTCTGAGACATGCCCTATATCTCGTTCGTATTTGAACTGTTGTTGTCCGAAGCCGCATCTCTTCTTTCATCGGTTGAAATGCGGCTTCTATCCTTTGGATTAAAACCTCTCTGCTAGGCTGTCGCATACACTAATTCCTTCGCTCGCCCCCAGACGTAAAAGGTGTCAGGTCTGGAGACCGTGGAGGCCAAGGAATAGGACCAAATGAATTGTCCAAGAACTCTCGAACGGGTTGTATATAATGTGCCGGAGAACAATGGGCGCATCGGTTAAAATTGCTAACAGCAAATCAGGAAACTAAGTCTGTAGGAATTCCAGATAATTTTATCCATTTAACCGGTTCGGCAAAAAATACGGTCCTATCAGTGTTCGTCCAATAACGCCCACCCACACGTTGACGCTAAATGGTTTTTGAAATGAGGACTGCCTTGTGAAGGTTCTGCCTCCCCGGTCTACCCAATAGCCCAATAATGGAGGTTGTGTAGATTTACAATTCCGCCGTGGCGGAAGTTGCACTCATCCGTCCATAATGTCCTCTTTAAAAAATTGTTTACTTTGCATCAAAATAGTACAATTGTTGTAAACCTTCGACATTAATCCTTTGCGTATTATGGTAGACAGGAAATGTAGTTAATCCAGGTATCGGGTGTCATTAGATTCGAATCACCTTGCATAAGAGGTATTCCTAACCTGATCTTTTTTCTCATATGCACTCGCTAACATTGTTGTGCTCATCAAGTGGAGGTAGGCTTTTCGAAGAGTTTGTAACTGATTCAAATTGAATACAAACTGGAAAAATCGTACAAAATATTATTTCTATGATGTATAGTATTCGTTGGAAAAGCAATAAATCACAGAAGTTTTGTAAGTAAAACTAGGTTTCAAAAAAGGTATAGTTTTTATAATCGAATCTCGAATTGAAACTATTTATACACTCCACGTGATTGTACTATTTTGGAAGGTAAAAGTGATTTGCTTGAGAAGATTTGCACGAACTGTTTATCTGATCTGATTGAGTATACATTAAAGAACAGACTCACGTTTATTTTGTGTCATCTCTAGAAAAAAGTTATCAAATAACATCCCCAATCGCCCAAACATTTTTGTTGGTTCATGTACCAAACACCCTGTATTGAAAAAAAATCTACTGACGTTTCGACCACCTTGGTGGTTGAAGTTGTCATGTCAATTCATTACATTTGAAATCGACAATGTCAACTCATTACATTTGAATTTTGAAAAAGGTCACCGACTTGGCCAAAAGGTCAGTAATTTTTCCATTCTGCATTTGTGGCTTTATTTATTTCAGTGAAATTTTGAAAATAAACAAAGTTTTAACAAAATTATAACAGCTCAATTTGAAAAAAATACAGATTATAATATTGCTGGGGAGGATTCAAAGACAATCGTGGGTTATTATTATTACTTTTCTAGGTGGTGGCCTGCGGTTATTTTGTTCCCAAACGAAGTACCATCCAACGTGAATATGGTGAAACATTACACGGGAGACTTTGTTGTGAGATTTTTTGGAACTTATAATTATTATTGGGTTAATAGAGGAAGGTCGTTCCTTTTTCAAGACGGAGATACAGGTGATGGAAATAATAAAATTAAAAAGCTAGATAAGGAATTCAAAAAGGCAGTTGAAGAGGCTACTCTAGCTCACAAGCTTAAACAAGGTAAGTCTTTTATACAGGGTGTTTTATTGAGGAAGGAAAATAATTTTGCCGTGGTATGGGATAACTGATAGTATTATTAAAAACCTATAGTTTATGGGTCTTTAGCTTCTTATAACAGAGATTTTATCGATGTTGGTCATTTCTTTGTAGACTCTCATTTTTTCAACCGCCCTGGTACGCATACAGTACCGATTTGTCCATTTTAGACTATATTTACTATGTTAGTGTTAGGCTTACATGATCATTTAACTATCAGTCACTCCAGCTAGACCAAAAGATCTATAAATCCAGGTCCATATTAAGGAATAAAAGTTGGCGGTTGTGTTTCCACATGTTGAGGAAATGTTCATGCACAGTGTGTAATCATGATTATAATGTCAACTTAGGCTGAATGGTTCACATCCTGGATCTGTATTTCTTTTTTATTTGTTATCTCACTTTGTTCATTAGGATAAGCTGGCTACACATACCGAGTTCAGATAAATATACCGGGTGGTAAACAAAGTTGTGAGGCTATAAAGAAATGGTCAATACCGATTAAACGCCTCTTGTCTTTCTATATCCACAATTAAAACATCTCCCGCTCCCAGTGAAACACCCTGTACAAGCTCTTTAAATAAGGTTTAGATAATGAAAATGTGGATCAACGCACTTTCAAGATTCTATAAATTGACAAAAATACAGAATTCTTAGAGCCCTTCAGTTTATTCATCAGTCTATTAAAGCGAAACGCGTTACGACTCCTTTTGCCTTTATCTGTGTTTTACTGAGATTTTGGGATAAATCTGGTATGCAAAATAAAACAAATCTGATAACTTTAAGGCCTACCTAGCAATTTTTTTGGAATCAGAATTAAAAAACTATTCATCTGCGAAGAAATATTTGATGGTGTCCGTAAGAAAAATAAGTTGATGCAAGATGACAAGAGACAAAACGTTATATTGAAAAAATTATGCCAGAGAAAAAGCGGCAGTGTTAATGTGCAATTTATTTTGAAATCAAACTACATATAAACTCAGGAAAAATTAAAACGATTTTTTGTTTTTCCGCCTCTCTCCGCAAGTACTTTGAATTTCAAAACTTTCTAAGCAGCATCTTGTTAATTGCCTAAACTTTGCCCCCATTCTCTGACAGTTTCTGAGATCCCAATGGTGACGGTCGAATGTGAAACACCCTGTATAGATAATTTTAATATTAATGTTTTGAAATACAATAATTAACTTAATCGCTTTGATATTTTCTTTAAATAAATGATAATGCCGTCGTTTTGATTATAATTTCCAAAATTATATTTATATTCCTGTATGGTAAATAATGAGGTGTCTGTTATGTTCCATGTTTCACTCCATAAAAGTCCATCTGATAATTTTCTCTTGAAATTCAGTTTTGAGACTATGTAGGTTTTCGAAATATGTATGTATTATACAAACTGTGCAATTTCTGTCCATGGCCAAATGATCCGATCAATGTTTTTTATGTGTGGCACAATTTAGACATCGTTTTGTTTGTTCTGTAGAAAAGTTACTATTATGATTTTTTCCACATTTGACACATGTTCCATTATTTTCTAAGTTACATGATTGTTATCAAATACATGTAATTTTTGAAAACCTAAAAATATTTTACCTCTGTTTTTTTATAATTCTGTTGTATACTAGTCCAGTTACATCAGCGTAAATTGTTATGTGTTTCTGATTTTATTTTCACAAATATAGGTTATTATATAGGTATCCTTTGAAGTTGTTTTGGTTCTCTAAATTCTTTTACCTCCTCTCCACTTGGTCTTTCGATATCCAGTCCTTTTTATCTTGGATCTCTTTTCTTCAATCATTTCGTATTTTTTCCTTTGGTTTTTTAGTAACCTCAGGTTTCAATTCAGAATTATTTTCATCATCTGATTTTATCAGAATTCAGAATTTTTCCGTTGTTTAAATATTTTATTGAGCTCATTTTAATTTTCAACTTTGCTATATTTATGTTTTTTCAAGATCTTGTCTTGCTTCTCGTACTGTTTATTTTTTGCTTGACTTAATTATTATTGTGTTTAGTGATTTATTTTCTTCTGTATTAAGATGTCTTCTTTTACTCTGGGCTATTTCTGCATGTTTTATGCTGGCTTTGTTGAATAAGTGGGTTCCGTATATTTTGTATTTTTTCACTTATCTTTTCCAGACTTGTCATTATTATGTATTTTTCTTCAATATTATTTAGGATGAGTTAATAACGATTTTGTAGATTTTTTTACCTTATAATATTTCTCTAATAAATTTATTTTTCTCTTCAAATACTTCAAATTCTAATAATTGGTGATTATTTCTTTCTATTTTTTGTTTTAGGGCTCTATTCTCTTCTTCAATTTGTTCCCAGTAGGATTTTTATCTGTAATGTAGTCAATTTTCATAAGCAGTTTTTTTTTATTTTGTCAGAATATATTATGAAAAAATAAAAGTTCTACGCACAAAGTTGTTTTAAATTATTTATTGAGCAATTCATCAATAAACAAGATGTTAACAAGATTGTCACTATCTATAGTGCGGTAGATCACAGTTTGAGTTCTACCATGTGTTATCAAATTCAAGGTTGTGTATGATTGTCAGTCAGTTGTCAAGTAGTAGGTTAGGTGACAGTAGTGAAAGTTTTGACACACGTTCCAGTCATAAGCATGATTATAAGAGTTAAAAGTTACGAACTTTAAGTATGATTATTCGCTATAGACGTCTTCATAACACGTACATATTTCATCTCTTATGTTCATATGTCTATGATTACGACTATGACTATAAGGTTGTATGAACCCGCCATAAGATTTTAACTAACCTTTATTTGATCATAACTTCAATTTTCATGCAAAGTCGTACGTTCCTGAATACCTGATTGCTAGCAATAACCTTTGCATTGCTTGTGAGATATATTGGCCCGTGGAAAGAGTAGTACTTACGTTCTTGATGTACTTCGTAAAAATTTGCCGTGTTGGGCGAAAGTTCAGTAAAGAAATTCACTGATATGTGCATTAATTATCATTGTCTATTATGTCACATCTACAGAGTTATGCATTCTATTTGTTCTGCAGAGTTCAAAAACACACAACAAGTGGAGTCACCCAGCTCGCAGAAGCCCCCGCCGTACATCAAAATCAAGGTTAACAAACCCGTCGGTAACGTACGTCAGTTGGACTTAGACCTGAGCAATACAACGGCGTGCAACTGTGATCCGAACCAGGAGAACCCGTGTGGTCCTGACAGTGACTGCTTAAACAGGCTACTAATGACAGAGTGTAACCCCGAGGTGTGCCCTGCCGGCAGCAGATGTAGAAACCAATCCTTCGAGAAGAGGGAGTACCCTCCCATAGTAAGTTAGTTAATATTTTGTCCTTAATATTTACCTTCGTAAAACACAACTACAAATTCTAATCCATTACCATTACCAGATCTTTTTACTATCAGGATTATTTGAGCTATGTTGGAGTGTTGTTAAATACACCCTTTCACAATTCATTCTTCAGTTACTGAGTTAGGAAAGTTATCAATTTTGATAATTTCTCTAAATGAAGTTTATTGAATCTTCTTTCAAAAATTCATACAGTGTTGAGATATTGATACTTGATGCTCTTATTTATTCTTCTTAACACTAATATAAATTATATTGCAAAGTACTTTGTTATTATAATTTTATATCCAAAACCAATGACTGTCCTAGAAACTGAAGAAATTAATTTTCAAATGAGGTTTTGCAAGAAAATGTGATGAAAAGTGTATGAGCAAGAAGTCCTTAATTTTTTGAGAGGAATTTATGCCACGATATTGTACCACGCCTTTTTTTATAAACAAGAGGAAATTGTGGTGTGATTCCTCTGACCTTTTTTTTTAAATTAATTCATGAATTAATAAATCACTATAAATGAAATCTAAGGGTCAGTCAATGCAAAACAGCTGACAAGTGGCGTGCAAATTTAGACTCTAGCTCAATAAAGCCGAGAGTAGGGGGGGTTAAGAGCGCCATTGACTTCAGACGGATTAAGCCACAAATACCCGAGTTGTTAATCGGAACTTGCTTTTCCTGACCACCCACGCAAAAGAAAAAATCTCACAGTAATGACAAGACCTAATTAGTTGTACACAGAGAGCCAAATAAAACAAGATATTTAAAAAAAGAATCATAATAAATTATAAAAACAAGCAGCACATATGCAAGTTAAAGGCATTTATATTATTGAAAACTACTTGACAATAAAATTATTAGGCCGTGATAATTAACCCTGCAAAACGTTTAACATGGTACACGTACGGAGGCTTATAAATATTTTAACGTCTAAACCTAAACTTATCTGGACAGTGGTCTTCTTCCAGTTACGGCTCTAGTCACAGCTGAGATGTCCACAGCTCACAAATGCTCAGGTCAAAAACCAGTGGCCAGCAGTGGGCAGTGACGTGAGGAACGTCACAAGGTAGGAATTGCTTGCCGCGTTTTCCAAAATTTACGGTATAAAAAACCCTAGAGAGAGAGAGAGAGAGAGAGGGAGAGAAAGACTGCTAAAAAATCTACTCTCTATTCTCTGACTGAGACAAAACCACTCATTTAAAACACTCAAAACTTGAAGAAAAACCATTTACATTATCTTTTACAAGAAACGTAAAGCAAGAGTAAGAAAAGATAAAATGTACTAAAGTGATATACCCTGTTCTAAAATAAAGTTATGGCAGCTCAAAAATCAAAATCATAATCAATGTAATGTAGTAAGCCCAAAAGAAGGTGGCATGAAGGCACTGCCCTATATTTGAATACGCAAAACGCCAAACAGAATCAAGAACACACAATTTCAGTCAGCAACAATCAATACATTAATATCTATAAAATACCCCAATAAAATGATATTTCACCTGTTCACATCCGGGTTTTTTTGTCAAGGGGGAGGGGTGGCTTCCAGTAAAATCGGCTGTAAACAGCTACAAGGCAGCTACATAATAACAAAGCTGGAGAAATGTGAATGATGGTTCTCCACAATGCCTTCCCACTACCATAAAAGGAAGCAGACGTGGTCCGATGGTATCCAAAAAAGAACTTACCCCTGAAGGTAGAAATCCCATTAGAAAACGGTCGGGGTAGCACCCAAACCAAAATAACTAAACGTAAGGTACAAAATAAAGGGTCCTACTTCATAAACTGGTGTTTGGGGGTCCTATATCCCAGAATCTGAGAGTTAACGAAACAACGCCCACACCATACCTCAGCAGAAAGAAAAGAAAATGGCGCTGGCCGGGTCTATACACGCAAGTTTTTAAAACAAGGTATCTTTATAGGAAAAGAAGGTATCTCAATAGGTAAAGAAGGTATCTTGATAGTAAAGCAAATATTATATAGGTTAGTACGTGTAGAAATGACAAGGTGGCATTGGTTGCCAATGGGCAGAACCATCTCTACGAGAGACCAACGATATTTTTTGAGGAAATTCCTTAGATAGTTGTTAATAATACTACATTAGTGTCCAGAAGATTTCAACACAATACTGAATCGCTGAGAAAGAAAGATATAATACGTGTGAAATTATACAATCAATAAACTATGAAAAAGAAAATCATTAAAAATGGCTTGGCCTAGGAATCGGCATCTACCATTTATAAAGAGAAATTCAAATTACTGGTAAGTGATCAAAATATTAAAAAAAAGTTTACGTTATTTTGGCACGTGACTCATTTTTGTTACATTTTTTTTGTCAAAGTCAATATCTTTCAAGGTGACTATTAAACTGCTTGACAATGTACAAAAAGGGCCAAAGAATGGTGCTAATTAGTAAAATTGATTGATTGCACCTATTTTATGTTTTTAGTTGAAACTTATTATATATCCAAAAAAATAATAGTAATAAAGCTTTCTCACGTTCAACCTCAGCTTGGTCTACGCTTGGTCTCGGTAGGACAACGAACAAAATCTACTATTCAGAGTATATTGTCTATCGAAATAAAACAGCACAAAGTGCCATCTATTACCAGAATCGACTACTGCGAGAGTGAAAAGCTGTCTGTTGGAAGTGCATTCAAATATCTTATTTGAAAACCGTTTCGAATGGTAATGAGATTACTTGCCAGCCGGCTTCTATCTTTTCCTAACATATAAGCTTGTACACACTTCTCGCGCTTGTCTCGTACACATTGAACTCAAATCAGACAAAGTTGGTTCTCCCCGTAAGGTAACCCTTTCGACAATTAAACTTCGCCATCACGTTATTTCACCATTATTTGTCCCAGTATCACTATTTTTCCGAGTTTAGGTTTGCTTTTTGCATTCATTAGAGACATCCCTTTATATCAAATTGACTATGTAATATTTTTCATGACATACATCAAATACACATATATTGGTAAATATAAATCTGTCGTCAATAGGCACCGTACAAAACACACGCAAGAGGCTGGGGCTTGAAAACATTAATGCCAATAAAGAAAGGACAATTTGTAATTGAGTACGTTGGAGAAATCATAGACACAGAAGAGTACCAAAGAAGGATACAAAAGATGCATGAACAGAAAGAAGAAAACTATTATTTTCTTACTATAGATAATCAAAGGATGTTGGATGCTGGACCAAAAGGTAAGTGCTCTATTTTGCGTTACAAACTTGAACTCAAGAAGGCCATGCGACAAACATCTGCCAACCTAGTTGGAGTCGTTGTATATATAGCCTGAGCATGAAATTTAAAAATTGTCGTGTCACATTATCTCCATGAATCTACCACTTTTAAAGCACTAAAAATATGCATTGCAAGAAAGGGTCACACGATGACACATGGAATATATATGTATGTTGGAGACTTTTTTTCACACCGAAGGAGCCGCGCAGACAGAAGCTTAAAGGGCAGGGCACCGCATGACTCTGTGTATCCCAAAAACAGTTTTAATCCGATTTTTGAACTGCCTAAGGTTAGTCGAACTGGGCAAAGTCTCCTCTTGTAGAATGTTCTACAGTCTCGATACCCTAGGGACAATGCGCGTTCGTATCAGCCAGTTCATGGTTAGGCACACGGTTATAATGAGAGGCGAAAGTCGGGCGGGTCTATTTGGCAGGCACATCGCGCTGCGGCATCATGGAGGAGAGCTCTGGCGTAGCGGTAGAAAAGAGCAAGCTCACCGGTGCGAAAGGGTCCAGAGTCTGTTGGAGAAGAGTCATTGATCAGTCGGACAACCCTCCTTTGAACAGCAACGGGCATGGATAATGTAGTAGGGGCGGCAGCACCCCAAACATCTGGCCAATACTCGAGCCTAGGTCTTATTTGTGACCTGTATAGAGTGAGGTCATGTAGAGAAGACCACTTCTTAGGGCTAAACAAATAGCCTAACTTTTTCCCAGCAGCTGCCACTATTGACGATATGTCTTCGTGATCTGGACTCCGACCAGCCGAAATGAACTGCTCTTTGGCAGAACTCGGCCATCCATCGAAACTGGGCGAGAGCTAGGACGCTTTTTGTTCGTCAAGTTGATTTGGAAGCATTAAACTGTACAAGATTGTTGCGTCCCCAAGCAGTGATAACCTCCAAGTCTCTCATTAGAGACTAAGTCGCTGCTAATCTTTCTTCTAGCTTGCCGGCAGAAATTTGCTTGTCACTCTGAATTCCTCCAAATAGAGTGCTGTCATCAGTAAGGCTGGGGAGTAGATTGATCGTACAAGAAAGAAGGTCATTGATATATAAGGACATTGTCGGAGCTGAAACCGATACCTGAGGAACATACGCATTGACATTGTAGGATGTAGAGGAGAACCCGTCAATTACGGCGGAGGTCTTGTAGCCAGAGAGAAAATCAGCGCCGCATCTGCAAAGCTTCTCTGGGAGACCATAGGATATAAATTTGCATAAGAGTCCAAATGAATCAGAGTTAACAAGGACCAGAATTAAATAATAGATAAATATGTATTGTCTTTAATCGTATGAATCTAACGACATTTCTGTTTTCTGTATGTCAACAAATTGCACCAACGGCTATGTCAGTCTTTTGGTTGAAATTTTTTCTCTTTAGTCGGTGCTATTTTTGGTATTTTCAGCATTTTAGTAAAGTACAAATCATCACACTGGAGAAACCCGATTCATGAAACTGAAGTTGCTTGCAACAGGTAGAACACCTAGTAGAAAAAAAGGGTTGTGAACATTGCGTCTCGGGAAACTCAATTTTGCCCAACCGGGTTTCATAAAATGCTTCCCGGCGACTGTTTCACATTTCAAGTGGTAATTCTGAATTGAAGGATTTCCCTTTAAATTTTCGCAGCTGCTAAAAGTAAAGCGAAAGCAAATATGCATTGACATTCTGTAGCTTTTTTTGAGTTTGATGGGAGCACTCATGTCAGTGCCGTGAACCAGCCTCTGATCAAAGGACGGAAACAAACTTGTTTTTTTTTTTTATTTCGTAGATACCACCACGAACGCATATCTGTCCTCATGAGATTGTATGAGAGAAGAGTTTTCTACGTGCGAATGTTCAAATTCAGCTTATTCCTTGAACTACGTTAGCATTAGTCGATCTCTGATTGTTAGTAGAGTTTGTATTTTCACACTTGATCTGCACACCTGTATAGGATCACTACAAATATCAAATGAGTCCAAGTACGAATTAGTAGTTTCAACTTCCAGAAATCTTATTCCGAGGGAATCTCATCAATACTTTTTATGAATAGGAGAGATTTATGCGATAATTAGATTATTTCTTTAGGTAATCTGGCTAGATTCATGAACCACTGCTGTCAGCCGAACTGTGAGACACAAAAGTGGACAGTAAAGGGTGAAACAAGAGTGGGGCTATTTGCCACAATGGATATACCAGCTGACACTGAATTGACGTTCAACTACAACCTAGAATGTGTAGGAAAAGAGAAAAAGGTCTGCAGGTGCGGAGCGCCAAATTGCAGTGGATTCATCGGTGTTAAGGCTAAGCAGGTATTGTGAATAGCTTTCAAAATATCAAACAAATTTACAAAACTCGGTTAAAAGATATATTCCTGAAGCTGTCATTCTGTGAACATATTAAACATGTATGCCAACAGTTGAACCGCGCATCCTAGGTCACACTCCAGGCACTTGATTCCATTTGGCGGCGACCGCTGAAAGTCGCCCGAGCAATGTCGTCATCAAATTTCAACGTTGGGACTTTTACTAGGGTATTTGTTAATCAGTGTTGGTAGCTAATAAATTTTTCCCAGTTTGATGTTCGTATTGACGATAGCGGCCATTGTGACTGAGTTATCAGTGTCGAAATTACGAAATAGTAAATTTTGGCGTTGTTTTTCCATCGTTTTCCTCCTGCAGAGCAACTTGTCGGTGGTTTACTGAAAACATCATTTGGTTGTGGAGAAGGCAAATATGCAGTGACTTTAAGGTGAAATGAATAATTTGAATGAGCCATCCTGAGCAGTTTGATGACATTTTCTGTACTAAAATCTTGGACGAATTTTTCTGTGGAGCTGCACACCATTCATAGTCGGTCCCACAGAGTATTTTTACTAGAAAGTATATTTTGAGAATGATCATTATTCCGTTTCAACACATTTTAGAAAATTGCGTCAATATAGAAGTGTTGCCGGATTTATTTTATCATTATCTGTATACCATTATACTTGAGTGGATAAAGGTCTGACCATATAGTGTAGCTATTGTATAAGTATTGTAAGTTTAATTTAAAATACAGCTTTTCATATGGAAAAATTTCATTAAGCTCAACCACATTACGATATCGGTATTAATGAATTGATTGTGTATAATTCGAAGTGCGATAATAAAACACAAAAATTTGGCCAAATCATTTTTATTTTTTCTGACTTTATTTCAGGAAATTTCTAAAAACTTATAAAACTGTTCCATTGGCACTTTTTAGGCACTACATGATGATGTTTCTAAATGTTGTGCCCAAAGGTTTGTTTTTGAGAAACCATCAATTTTATATTTTTTTTATGGTCCGAAAAAAGTACACCCTATATTTGATTTTTTATACGAATTCAACGACGAATCACATGTTACATTTTATTTTCTTGGTTGTAAGAAAAAATGCGTTTTCTCTGATTTTTTATTTTTTCAAGTAGGCGCTGCAAAAAAATGCTTCCCTTGACGTAAATACCTGTCTACGAGTATTGTTATTGTGTATTATTAATATTGCTTTATCGTCAAGGATCCGAGGCGGACATTATAACAATGATGAAAAGTTCGACATGCTGACGTGCTACATTTTGTGCTACAAAAATAATAATACTGCAGAAATGTATCTTGATATAATATGGTTAATTCAAAAAGCCTGTTACGTCTCAAAAAAAAGGAATCTTTAGAGGAAACTCAGAATAGTGTTTTCTAAGCAGTTGCTGCGAATTCCGAGACATCAACTAGGCAAATTGAAAAAATGTAGGAGTAGCCAAATCCGCATCCCAGTTTATTTTGCGTAAAAATAGTTATCATCCATCTAAATTCAGGATCTACCAAATACTTAGACCAGAGGATGACGAACGGCGCCAGCATTTTTGCGAGTGGTTCACATGAACGTGTGAAGATTTTAATTTTTCTTGAAAAATTATATGGTCCGACGAGAGTATCTAATAATGATATATTTAATCTCCGCAACACTCATTACTTGGCTCAAGAAAATCTGCGGCCTAAAAAAAAGTATCCAGACATTTTGGGTTTAATATGTAGTGTGGAATTCTAGAGACCAAAGTATTAGGTCCATTTATTTACCACGACTAATTAACTGTAGAACGGTACTTTCAGTTGTTGTAACATGATCTAGAAGACTGCCTGGATAATTTACTTTTGGCCCAAGTTAACAGCTGTTGGTTTAAACTACACGGTGCTCCTGCGCATATCTCTAGGCAAGTTCGAGAGTACCTTTCTCAGCGATTACCCGGAAGTGAAAGTGTGGCCAGCGCGTTCCCGGATTCAACTCCTCTGGACTTTTTGTTTGAAGTTTTTTTTTAACTAAGTTTATCAGCGTATTTTTGAAGACGAGCATCAGTTACGACTATGTGTAATGTAAGCATTTAGTATGATTGTACCAGAAATATTACGTAGTATTTTGAATTTTATTGTTAGGAGATCATATTTATGTTTAGAAAATAATGGCAACCTATGTGAATAAAATAAAAATAATGTTAAAAATGTATTCTTTATTGGCTTCGCCAGCCCCCAGACACTCTGCCTTTGGGGTGCCACATTACCCTCTGTCTAATTGTTGTATTGTGCTGATCTTAAGCATTGGAAATGGCTTCATTATTTTTGTTTCTAGACTCGATATCGGCTTGTCTGTTTGCTACAGTGGGCTTGGTGTGCCTCGGTCTTCTGTCGACGGCGGGGGCGCATAATTTTTTGAACCACCCTTTAGGTCCTTGTTTCTGGTACTTTTATTGTGTGAAGGATTTATTCCTCCATTCCAAACTTCACTTATTGACGGACTGCCGATACAGCCAAGTCAGCAAAACAAACATATTTCCAAATAAAGCTGAAGAAAAAGTCTCAGTCCTTCCCAGTTGGCAAGAGGTGCAGATATTGGTCAGTGCTTGCTGTACTAACACGTTCGCTGCCAGTAAAATGTTACATGTAGTCAGGGGCCAAGGGGGTTTTTAATTTTTTGTCTGAAAATTTCTTTAAATGATACTAAATATGATATATATTGTAGTTAGCGAATATTTTCTTACCTGAATACTAATATTTTTTGGTCGCCAGAAGGCGACACTGGCACTAGAGGTAGAATTTAGGACAAACCGCGTACGGAAAAGTTCTCGAAAATGTCTAACCTGTATGCCTATTCACCCTTACGAACTATACTAGCGAGCCACCTGAGCTGAAGCACCATATAACAATAGATCACACGCGTCGCCCTATGGCGACGGATGCACAACAGTCTAGACATGTGTCAATTGGCGGCATTGAACGTGTTAAAACGATCATTGGAATAACATGCGCAGTGGCCTAATATTTAAAACTTGGAGCAACAAGTGTTACGGTTCATATCTTCCAAACTTCACTGATATGAATTAGCTGTCACTCTTTTTAGTATTTTGACGTCTGACATATGGCAAATAATGAATAAACTAGTCACCTTCTGTATTTCGTCCGATCACGCAAATGAAGCTTATCAAGTACTTATAATTATTGCATGGTAGTTTAACTGTTTATAATAATGCTGTTTTGTTTTTCAGGATGACTTAGCAAAACCTGTTAAAGTCACAAAAAAGAAAATCTATAAAAAGAAGCGTAAACTAACCGAACCAGTAGTATCTCAACCTTGCTTTATATGCAACAAAAAAGATAATGTTTTTACATGCAACAATAAGATATGCAACAAGGCTTACCACTTGAAATGCCTGAAGCTGGATGCAGATAATTTTGATGGTAATATTCTTATTCTCATTGTTATATTAAATTTTTGGAATTAACGTTACCATTTTTTTTTTTAGCGAGTCGATTTATTTGTCCTTGGCACAGCTGCGATATTTGTTCGAAGAGAACCATAAGGTGCTGTGTGAAGTGTATCAGATCGTATTGTCCTCAACATTCGGATGGGAAGATTAGCCATTACAGTACTGTAGGATTTGTTTGTTTCAAGCATGACCGAGTGAGTATATTGCTTAATTTTGGACTAATCCCAATTTTATGCTGTACATGTAGGATGTAGATACTATTGGTAAACCACATTCCTGATGACAGTTTTGAATCGTAATACTCTTCATTATTGTCATTCTCACACTTTATGAGTGTTGCATAAATTAATTTAAAGTCTGTAAGGCTTCCACGGCCATCATTTTTCAGTACCAAATATGTTGTCCGTTGTTTTGAACACGTGACGTTTCGCCATCACGAGCAGTTGGCAGCTTTTGAAGATAGCCCAAAATGTGGCACTTCAAATAAATTTGATTATAAAAAATGAAATCATATAATGCGAAACGCGCTCGCAGTTGTAATTTCAGAAAAGCTGCTTGTACGGGCAGTTGCATTATTCAGAAATATAATCTAATACAAAATCATGAACAAAGTGCGTAATCGAGAGTAATCTATGATATTTTGAATAAATAATAACGCGAAAATTTTAAATCAAAGGCTGGAGATCGTCTAATCAGACGAAAAATCTCCTGGATTGCAAAATAATTGTTTGGTTTTGTCGATGCAAGTTGTTCACGGGGTATTAGAAACATGGGCGCAAATAATTGGTACACCAATTTTTGTAGAAAAACTTTTCATTCAAGAGTAAATAATTAGCGTTTTCCGGGATTCAGTCGAATGTGTTGACAAGAACGAAAAACCATTCAAACAAGGTTTTTAGGTACCAAAGATCTACAACATGAGACCACGCATGAAAAATGATTAAAACAACAATGTTTTCTAGCATGATCCAGGGAGGGATCATGGGGGTCATGACACCCCCTGAGCAAATTTACTTTGACCACTAATATTTATGACTCTCGAATGTCGTTGATAAATTTAATGAAAAAAGGACTTTTTGCAAATATGTAATGGATACAAACAAGTAAAAAATTACCATAATTGGTGAAAATGATGGGGTGGAAATGAGAGGGTTGCGTAAGTCTGGTTGCCTTTACCTTCAGCTTGGCGCAAATATGAATAAAATAGTGATTCTGCATTTTTCGGCTTGATAGCACTGAATGTCCCATTAGTGAATTATTGGAAATTGAGCCTTATGTGTTATGTAATTAAGGTTGTTGATTGAAAATTCAAACATTCAGATAGGAATATAAGAAAAAAACCTTTTCCGCCGTTAACGCTGTGAGCAAATTTGATAAAAATCCTTTTTGAAGGAAAAATCAGAGAAAAGCAGTTCATTTGATTGACAGAAGATGTAAGTAGTAAGCATCATAGTTACCTAACCGTAAGAATGTTCAAATCTCGCTCTCTGCATCTATAAGCTCGTAAACATATACTAACTACTTCATGTATTTGACACTTTTTATTTGCAACTTAGCATGATGGTATTATCTTAAGGCCGTCTGTCACGATCCGAAATTTTATGCTGAATATGGTACGCTAAATTTCCTGTGTGTGACAGACAGCATTTAGTACATAATTTTGTATGAACAAATTTAGTGCTAAATTTTGTAGAGCCTGTTTTAAATATTATACTAAAATGCGGAGATGACTACTGCGCATTTGGAGCAGTACAATAGTTGATAAAAGCGCTACGTGACAAGGAATTACATGTTTTGTGATGATTGGATGAGATAATAATTGGTTGACAAAAACACGCCTAACCTCAAACACTTTCATTATTTGATGTTATCAGTTGTGTTCAGTTGTGTTCATCAGTTTCGCGAAACTCCCCTGCTCATGCTAGATTGCTAGATTGAAAACTTAAAAGATGTCATGATCAAAAGAGCAATGTGACATACTATTAAACAAGTATGAGAAATATGATTGTTTATACGCTGTAAAAATCAAGGCCGATAAAAACAGAAAAGCCAAATAGGCTGTGTTGGATAAAATCAGAATGACTTCAAAACCAATTAAACTTAATAAGCCAGTGGATCCTCCACTGGAAGTTTATTATAAGATCATATGGAGCACATCCATGCTCTGATCCCTCTCCCTGATCCATTTCCGGCACCAAATTCTTTTACGGTTCCGTTTACTTCGTTTTCTCATGAGGTGGGCAGCTACAACGCAGATCGAGACTGCCACAGCTGCATATAATACATTTTCTTCAATTTTCTATTCGCTTAAAGTAATAAAGGAATAAAGTAGCAAGCTGCAAAGTAAAGTGTGGTTAGAATGACTTTGACGTGGTAAAAGGCAGTTAGAAGTTGACAGTTATAGTTGTTTTTTACCAACTGAGCATGATTGCATACGAAATTTAGTACAAAAATTTCGATTGTAATTTGTAAACAAATTGGTAAATAAATTCAGTAACGAATTTTTTCACGAAATTCGGTATCAAATTATGAACAAAGTTTTGTATCGTGGCAGACAGCCTTTAGTTTTGTCATGTACAGAGCGTTCCCCAAACATGGGGCAATAATTCAATGGATGACTGGAGACTGTTCGGAAACTATTGTATTTGATCTTCTCGATTTGCGAAACACCTTGATTCCGGAGAAACGGGCCCCTGAAGGAGTCTTCGTTGGAAATAGGCTTTCACATATCATCGCTTCAGTTTTAACTTCGCGTAACTCAAAAAATGGTTTCATCAAGATTACGTGTCATTCGATAGGGTCTACAAAGATCCACCGTTTTTTTGCTCTTTTAAAAATTCGTCCGTTTTGAATTACGCTGTTATCCAACGAAAACTATCAACTCATTCATACACATATATTAAAAAAACTTTGACTTTTGAACCGGATATGTATATAAATGTTTTTAAAATAAATAAAAAACATTGAACATGAAAAAAGGTTAGTTGCGTTTAGATATATATATGGTACAAAGTTTGTACATACATACTATGTATATGTATAATATAATATACATATTATGGACATACATATATGTAGTAACACAAAACAATGAAATAGAAAGTTACTTTAAGGACACAAAAATTCATATATTGTCGTTTGTCTCTTTTCCTTTAAAATGGCTTCTTGAAATCGAACTTCTAATTTAGAAAGAAGATCCAAAGACTGTGTATCTCCCTGATTTTCTACAAAACTTTTTAGCTGCTTGGTCAGGGTAATAGCTTTACCATAATTTGGAATAGCTTCTGTTGGTACGGGAACCTCATCAACATCAGAATCTTCGAAAATTTAATGTATTTCAACTGGTTTTTCAATTTCTTGGTCTGAATCTGGACCGTCAACATACAAACCTTCATCTAGGCTCAAAAGATCATCGAAGTTTTGATTATCAATAATAAATTCTTATTTTAAGGATATCTGAAAGTACATTAAGTGGTAAGTCATCTGGGTCAGGTATATCAACCTCATTTAACTGGTCTTCACTTTGCATATTTTCATGCTTAAATTCTTTGGTTACTTGGTCCCAAGCGTTTTTTGCCAAATAAACTGCATTCAATGATGTATTCTTCTTTATTAACTCAAAAGCTGTACCTGCAGTTTCAATGTTTATTAGTAGCTGTTTGAGCATTAGACTTCGGTAATAAGCTTTAAATCTCTTTAATCCCGTGGACAAGTGGTTGACAAGCTGGTCTACAAAATGTTTCTTTTTTCTGCCATTTTCCAATCTAGGTCTTGCAACCACTCTGTTATAATTTGTCTTGTAATCCAAGCTTTCTTATTGCATTTCCAAATTACAGGCAGGTCATTTATGTTAATGTTGTCAAAAGCTCTGGGCTTAGCTGCCTTACCAATGACTAGGAGTTTTTCTTTTTCACCCGCCATATTTACACAGTGCAAAATTGTAAACCTCACTTTTGGATTCTTACCTCCAAGACATTTTTCCTTCTTTAATGTGAGCGTTTTATCGCGTAGAGTACTAACATGCAGGCCGATCGCATCGGAATTATAGATGCCTCTCGTTGCATGTTCCTTAATCAAAGGAAAATTTTCCAATAATGATGAAACATCTTCAGCATTAACAGAAGCATCTTCTCCCGAAATCACTTTAAAGCTTATATTATTATATTATATTTATTTTGCTTCCCATCGTATTAGAGGATCTAAAAAAAGTTTTTCCCGTTTTTGTCACGACAAACCTGTTGATAATCTCTCTTTTTATCTATTTTGGAATTGACATGTAAAGAAGATTAACGCATTACATTAATACAAAAAACCTTATTTAAAAAAATAATATGCATACATACCTGCCAAAGGAATCCCCTTATGACGAGCTGCTGTAAACCAATCATAACCCATTTTTTCAATTTTGATACCACTACCCGTAAAAAAACTTCTTTTTTCATTGAAATTGCCGTTCGACATCCATTTCTTAAGAAGAATTTATTTATGTTTAATTATATCTGCAGCTTCTCCTTATTGTTCAAGCGTGGATTTTTTTTATTTCGATCCATTTCTACAATGATGCGTCGCCCATTTTGTCTTTTCCGCATAACAGTCAGACTAATACTGAATGCAAATATAATCGAAAGCGTGTACTCAAGGAATAAGAACGGTAAATCCCCGACCAACTCAGAGAAGCCCCTAATTCACGCCGCACAGAAATGCACCAGATAACCTGCGTTTGTACCGAAAGATTAAAGTCGGTGAATCCCCGGTTTACTCGAGAAAGTCCCAACGAAGATAGCGCGCGGCACGATTAGAAATGCAATATCAATACTCTCAATAGAAAAAAATAAGACAGGCGTTTATTTTTATTTTGTTTTTTGTCCGGCTAGGAGAACATTTTCTCGTCTCCGCGTCCGTTCAAGAGAACGTCCGTCCAAGAAAGAGTGAATACAATGCAAATTATATGAGAGTCCGTCGGGACCATGAGAAACTGTCTGCCAGCTGAATGATATTGTTATGCAAAAAACAAAAGGTTACATTTTTTCTCATAAACAAACACGAGATTTCGTCTTTTCGGGGAATCGAATAGATGGGTTACGGTATTCGAAAAACATTCACTATTGTCCACATTTAACAAATAATTTTGGAAAACAATATAGATGTGTAAATTATTGGCTGAAAATAATTAAACACACTCAAAACTACGTTT